CTGTGACGCGTCACGACCCAGTGTGCAAGCTGCCCACAAGACATCACCTTACACCAGCTTTCCGCACACGAGGCCAAAGCAGCTGGGGAAACCAACACAAGTTCACGGTCTCTGCCGACGACGCCAGGACGACACTTCCCTTGTTCGTTTTCCCGGGAGTGTGGCTCCCAGAGCACAACCAGCCTAAACCGCTCCTGACACGCTTCCCTCTAAAGGCAGAGGGAATTCTCCAAGTGCGTCTGACCCTGTGTACGCGTGACAGGACTCCAGAGGGACCTGTGTGCACAAGCACAGCGGAGTCAGTCTGACCTCTGACAGGAACACAGGCGGTATTCTAACGGAGGTATGTGACAAAGAGCTGCTCTTAGGTTGACAAATTCTTCGTCTCCAGGCCAAACAGCCACTGTAGAAGGTGGAGAGGAGATTCCTTGAAATGGACACACTAAAGCCAGTCTACTGCTCACGTATCTGCAGCTGGTCTGTTGGTTTTCAAACTTCCGGCTGTTTGTCAGACGAAATATTTTTTTAAAATGTTTATTTGTTTTTGAGAGAGAGAGAGAGAGAGAGAGAGAACGAGCAATCAAGCAGGGGAGGAGCAAAGAGAGAGGGAGACACAGAATCTGAAGCAGGCTCCAGGCTCTGAGCTGTCAGCACAGAGCCTGACGAGGGGCTGGAACTCATGGACCTTGAGATCGTGACCTGAGCTGAAGTCAGATGCTCAGTCACCGACCAAGCCACCCAGGCGTCCCATTGTCAGATGAAATTTTAAGCACAGTTTCAGTATTTAAAGCTGCTGGGGGTTTGGCTCCTGAGGGGACCCCCCCCCAAGGAACCAAACTGGGGCCTATGGGGTGAAGAACCTTCTGGCAAGACTGTGCGCTCCTGGTGTCTGATTGTGGAGTTGGTGTGAGACCCAATGCAGCTGTACAAAATTCTTCAGAAAGCTGAACCTTAGGGCCCTCCCGCCTATGAGGGTCCTTGTCCCAACCACACCCAAGTCCCAACTGTTGGGACTACAGGTAAACCCCATGACTGAGTTCTGGCCACAGGACTGCATGTTTGTGGACACATAATCACAAAAGTAATGTTTTAAAACAGATCCATAGACTTGGGGCCAGAAGTCTGGGGTGAGCTCACAGACGCACTTCTGCTAGGTACTCAATGATTTCTTTTTTAAAGTAGAATTGGGGAGATTTCTTCTAAAAATATGTGGTTTCTGGCATTGTTTGAAAACTTGTTTTACTATCTGGCAGCAATGGGATTGTGCCCGAGCTCTCTGAATTGACAAGGTGGCAGCCAGGGCACCTGGCCGCCCTCCCGCACAGCCCATCTAATCCTCATCTTTGGCAACTGCGAGCTATGAAATCTTTCACAGTTACGCGTAAGAAGAATCTCATTTCAGAAGTAAAACATTTCCGATCTTCCCTCAAGAGAGGAAACCTCTTTTTCATAAACATTCTATTTTAACATCAGTGGCTTTCCAAGTATCAACAAAGAGCCAATGAGGCCTGGGTGGCTACCGATTAGTTAAGCGTCTGACTTCGGCTTAGATCATGATCTCATGGTTCGTGAGTTCGAGCCCCGCACCGGGCTCTGTGCTGACAGCTCAGAGCCTGGAGCCTACTTCGGATTCTGTGTCTCCCTCTCTCTCTGTTCCTCCCTCCGGTCACACTCTCTCTCGTTCTCTCTCTCTCAAAAACAAATAAAAACATTAAAAAAAAAAAAACTGTGTGACATAACAAAAAAGTTATGAAGGGTTAAAAAAAAAAAATACCGTTTTTGCCCTAAACATACAGCTTGGGGATCGACACAAGCAGGCACGTGCCTTTAAATGTAAATACATGAAAACACAGGTTTTAACTCTGAGGCAGACCAGTGGCCTGCAGACTGGTCACGGCCCTGTGAAAGCAGTCTCACTGGCTTGCTGTGGCCCGTGGAGCATTTCACCCCGTGTGAGCGGTCCTGGGCCAGTGGTCACTCTCTGAGGCCTTTCTACTTGCTCTGCGTGAGTCTGCTGGTCCAAGAAAGCGACAACCCCCAAGTGTTTTCCTGAATATCTTCAGTGACTATACAGATTCAAAATCTAATTACGGTATCATAGGTCACTTTATACACTCAGGCCATCCAACAAAGGCTAACGCGTAATTTCACGTCTATTCCTGAGTAAATGTCACTAATTGTCTCCGGTCAGGCAACGCTGTTCCCTGCTTCTAGATTTTCATACGTACGCATCCAGCGATGTCTGCCCTGTGTGTCACCACACAGGGAGATGTTTTCACCACTTGTGAAAATACCTCTGAAGCATGTAAGGGAGATGCTACGCTTAAAATCACTTTATTTTCTCTCCAAGTACTCGAGGGCTGCATCTTTGAATGGATGGTAATTCATTTCACGTTAACAAGTTATTAATTAAGGCTGAGGATCTGGGGTTCTCAGCTGGGAAAGACGCCCATGACTTCTCAGATTTCCTGGCAGTTAAGGATCAAAGACCAAGGCCACCTGGGATGCAAGTGTGGCCTGGGCACTGTGCTAAACGCAGTCAGAGTGGGCCTCAAGTGCAGGACGAGGCTTC